CTAACCCTCCCTAACCCTCCACTAACCCCTCCACAAACCCCTCCACAACCCCTCCAATAAAACCCCTCCATTTAAACCCTCCACTAACCCTCCATAAACCCCTCCACAAACCCCTCCACTAACCCCTCCACCTAACCCTCCAACTAACCCCCCCACCCCCTCCCTAAACCCTCCCCCCTAACCCTCTCTAACCCCTCCACTAACCCCTCCACTAACCCTCACTACCCCCACTAACCCCTTCACTAACCCCTCCACTAACCCTCCACTAACCCATCCACAAACCCCTCCACTAACCCCTCCACAAACCCCTCCACTAACCCCTCCACCTCAACGAGACTTCACGGAAGCAACATAAAAGAAAGATGAGAGGTTTTTGTTAAGTAACCAAGAGAGTGAGACATAATATTGATAATGATCCATAAGTTCAACTGATATTCTGCCCGCCGCCGCAACTCTCCTTCTGGCCGCCGCCGCAACTCTCCTTCTGGCCGCCGCCGCAACTCTCCTTCTGGCCGCCGCCGCAACTCTCCTTCTGGCCGCCACCGCAACTCTCCTTCTGCCCGCCGCCGCAACTCTCCTTCTGGCCGCCGCCGCAACTCTCCTTCTGGCCGCCGCCGCAACTCTCCTTCTGGCCGCCGCCGCAACTCTCCTTCTGCCCGCCGCCGCAACTCTCCTTCTGGCCGCCGCCGCAACTCTCCCTTTTGGCCGCCGCCCGCAACTTCCTTCTGCCCGCCCCCGCAACTCTTCTTCTGGCCGCCGCCGCAACTCTCTTCTGGCCCCCGTCGCAACTTCCTTCTGGCCGCCGCCGCAACTCTCCTTCTGCCCGCCGCCGCAACTCTCCTTCTGGCCGCCGCCGCAACTCTCCTTCTGCCCGCCGCCGCAACTCTCCTTCTGGCCGCCGCCGCAACTCTCCTTCTGCCGCCGCCGCAACTCTCCTTCTGGCCGCCGCCGCAACTCTCCTTCTGCCCGCCGCCGCAACTCTCCTTCTGGCCGCCGCCGCAACTCTCCTTCTGGCCGCCGCCGCAACTCTCCTTCTGCCCGCCGCCGCAACTCTTCTTCTGGCCGCCGCCGCAACTCTCCTTCTGGCCGCCGCCGCAACTCTCCTTCTGGCCGCCGCCGCAACTCTCCTTCTGCCCGCCGCCGCAACTCTCCTTCTGGCCGCCGCCGCAACTCTCCTTCTGGCCGCCGCCGCAACTCTCCTTCTGCCCGCCGCCGCAACTCTTCTTCTGGCCGCCGCCGCAACTCTCCTTCTGCCCGCCGCCGCAACTCTCCTTCTGCCCGCCGCCGCAACTCTCCTTCTGGCCGCCGCCGCAACTCTCCCGCCAAACTTCACCTTTTTTATACCAGCAAACCTCCTTTTTTTGGCGGGAACTTTTTTTTTGCGGGAACTTTCTTTTTTTTTTTTGGGGGGGGGGGAGGGGGGACTTTCTTTTTTGGGGGCGGAACTTTCTTTTTTTGGTGGGAACTTTCTTTTCATGCCGGAAAACTTCTTTTTTTTTGGCGGGAAGTTTTTTTGGGGCGGGAAATTTCTTTTTGGCGGGAACCTCCGCTTTTTGGCGGGCAATTCCTTTTTTTGGCAGGAACTTTCTTTTTTATGCCGGAAAACTTCCTTTTTTTGGCGGGGAAACTTTTTTTTTGGGGGGAGAGGGGACCACTACATTGGCGAGAACCCTTATTTTCGGCGGGAACCCTTATTTTCGGCGGGAACCCTTATTTTCGGCGGGAACCTTTATTTTCGGCGGGAACCCTTATTTTCGGCGGGAACCCTTATTTTCGGCGGGAACCCTTATTTTCGGCGGGAACCCTTATTTTCGGCGGGAACCCTTATTTTCGGCAGGAACCCTTATTTTCGGCGGGAACCCTTATTTTCGGCGAGAACCCTTATTTTCGGCGGGAACCCTTATTTTCGGCGAGAACTCTTATTTTCGGCGGGAACCCTTATTTTCGACGGGAGCCCTTATTTTCGACGGGAACCCTTATTTTCGACGGGAACCCTTATTT